ATATTATGCCTACCTTTGATAGTGGAAGTCTCAGTAAAGGCCTGAACTCAGGTTCCCAAGTGCCATTTTCTCGAGAAATTGCCCGCTTCCCCATTTCGCTACACACCTTTATGCTCTCGGATCCTGTGAAGACTGCTGTATGTATGTTGGGTAAGAGATTGCAGGCATTTTGGAAATTCCCAAAGTCATACGGAATTACTCATTGCCGCCCTGATGGCCTTGATAACAATCTTACTGTCTAAACATCGCCCGCCATGTTTACCAATCGCGTAATAAATCTCAAAAGTGCTTCTGACGCCGGCTAGAGCCTCGTGCGGACTGTAGATATGCCAACTGTTTTACAAAGCTGTGCAGATATTTAGGAATGGGTTTCAACCGTCTCCTACCAGACATTACGCTCAGCTTCATAAGCCTAGGATAGAGAGTTTTGTTATTAGCCATGACCAGGCATTTAAGCACAAGTGGTATATAATAACTTAGACCACTTTTAAAACTATGGGCAGCGATTTCTCAAGCCTTAATGACTGTCCGGCAAAACCTCCATTCTGGGCATTTTTCGAACTCCCTTCTCGGACGAGGAAAAAAAGTGTATGATATGATTGACTTACGGCGGCTTTTCTGGGCCTCAACCCAGTAAATTCTTTGCTTAAAACTTTTTAGAACATTTTAACCCTCTAGCTGACATTTTTTAATACTTCCTAAAAAACTGAATTAAACTTTCTTCTTAAAATTTTTGTAAAACATTTTAACCTTCTAATTGCTATTTTTAATGAACTTATATGGAATGGAATAGGTTGGCCGGAAGACACAAAAACAACTTGTCTAAGCAGGCGGGTTGGGAGTTCTTTACTCTTCAGTATACTTACCAGAATAGTTTATGAATCCAAGCAGTTTGTCGAGGAAAGAGAGATGGCTGTGCAGCTCATCCTTTCTTAACCCATTCAGCCCAAAATGTACCACCTCAGTCTGGCGAAGGCCCGACGCCAACAGGGAAAATGTTCTGTGCTATCCTCATCTTTCCACCACAGTGGTTTATCGATAATGTCTATAGTGACCATATGTCGCTCCCACGGATTATGTGCCGTAATCAGTCCTATCAGGGCTCGTAGATCGCGCCTTTTCAGGAAACACTTCGTTGTTTTGCAGGTGTTACTACTGCATCATCGACTCTCATGAGCTTTATTTACTAAATCCTTGATGTAAATGACAGTTCCCGCTATGCTTGGCCTTAAAATTGTATCCGGTCCAATTGGACGCTCCAAAGACCGCAGTTCGCTTATTCATCAGCCATGTCGTTGCACCCACACAAGTACAAGCTGATTCCACTTTGCAACCGAGTGCAGGCTCAAGTTGCATTTCTACATTATTTTTGAAAAGTTGCGTTTGGCTTTCTGACTGTCAGTGCAGACCCTGATTTTATATCCAATCTGCTATTTTAAGTCGTGCAAAATTACGATTGAAAGAATGTTGTTGTTATACCTTTTATACCTAGGTTAGTGAAGTGGTTCCGCGTCTTGGCTATAGCGGGATAGGCGCAGAGATAGTGTTGATGCTCTCATGCTCTTTCTCGTTTCGGCAGCTTTACGAAAAAATCGGTGGTTCTTTCCATGCGTGTCCATAAGGCAGTGCCCGGTGATTACGCCGGCACCTGGTATTTACCTACTCGATAAGTTGATCTTTCAATCTACGTTTCCATCTTGAGCAAAATTGATGATAGAAGTTGAGAATCCTTCTGCATTTTATGACGACCTTGGCTGTTGTTTCGTTGGATTTTGAAGATTTAATACATATCAGCTTGTAGTAGTGATATGCCGGAGAGGTGAAAGTTATGAGCCACCGAGCGCTCTCCATAACAGCATTTAGGAATCGAGAACGAGTTCCGGTTTTGGTTTACTTCTGCACGAGAACAAAATTTAATGTCAAGAACGTTACCACAAAAGAGCCCAAAAGGAAACAAAAGTATTGAGAGCATGTTGAATAGGAGCAAAATGAGGACGAGACTTTCGGTAACGTTTCCAATCAGAACGAAAGTATCGATAACGTTTTCAAGGAGGTTCAAAAGGATCAAAAGTCTTGGGAACGTTTTGCTAGAGAACAAAACTTTTGAGAACGTAACATTAAAAATGAGAGAGACGTCTGCCTGTTGGGCTAAAAAATCGTTTCCATGATTGTTAATTCTAAGCCAGAGGAAAGCTGGATAGGGTGAACTGTTCATTTATCGAACAACTTTTCATTTTCCGTGCAAGAAATGTTCGTGCCTTAAGTCTTTTGTTGACTTAATTTGCATAGTCATCTTTCAGTTCTTTTTTGATTAATTTTAATAGGCAAACATTTCAAATGAATGCAACGCTATGAAACAAATTATGTTCTTGCTTCCATTCTTCCCGAATAGTAAATAGAAGATTTGTTTTCGTTTCGTTATCTTTTAGAAAGGGAAAAATCCTTAGACTTTTGTTCCCGTTTTGTTCTGGAGATTTTTCTTCCCATTTTGTTCTCTTAGAAATGTTCCCGAAAGTATTTTTCGAATTTTTTTCCTTTGGGAACGCTTCACAGGGTGCTTATTATTCTTGTTGAGAACGTTCTCGACAGTTTTTTCCCACTTTAGTTTGGTTTTTAAGCGATCTTAAGAACAAAAGTACGAGAACGACATTTAATTCCGATCATATCTTATGTTCAGGGTCCCTGGGTTGTAGTCCCTTTGAGCATAAAATGCATACATACGTACATGCACTATATTTGAATTTGTGACAAAAAAGTATAATGTTAGCTGGTGGAGGAAAATTCTCCTAGGGTTTCACTATCAGGTATGGATACTTACATTTGGGTGTGGGTGGGTTAAGTTCCCAAACTACTAAACCAACACAACTCCCAAAATCCCACACAAACTCTTGCACGTTTGGCCTTTAAGCACACTTTTACTCGCTTTAACTCGCACGTTATTCAATTTAGCTACTTTTGTAGGCAATGTAAACACTTCGTGCTAAAAATCCTCTACTTGTAAGCATCACCAAGCATTTATTTAGCCAATATTATCAATTATGATATATATATGTATGTATATAATAATTTAAGATAATCATCAGTATCGCCTAATTAAACTATATTTAAGTTAATAATCTGCCTACACTTTTTTAGTAATCACAAAAATTCTACCTTTTCTCTGTTTTTCTTTCCCTTCGATTATCTTCTGCAGGTTCAGCGCCGCTTGGTTTCTATACGCCTGTGAAAGCACCCATCGATAACCTCTTTCAATTGGGCGTAACGCGTGCACCTAACGGTAATGGACATCACGCCTACAATAAAACATCAACGCCCACAACCAATGGTACCACCGCCACACAAAATGGTCAAAGTAATGGTGGTGGTGGTGGTGGTGGTGTCAACAGCAATGGTAGCAACAATGGCGGTGGTAACAGTGAAGGTGGCGCAGACGAGGGCGAGGAGACAGCCGAAAGTTTGCAATACATCAAGCCGGCGAATGATGATCTCACCATAGCGTACAGTGAAGGCACGCAGAAGACAGATTTGCTATATTGAATTGGAACGAAACCGGGCGAAGCAGGACGAGCAGTGGTAAACAGCGCAGCCGCAAAGCAGAAAAGTAGGCAATCGAGCGTAAAAAAGGGGTTTGAGGAAGCTGATTATTTGAAAAGTAGCGTGCAACTGCAAGGCAGCAGTATTCAGTGGATTTTTTTTGCAGCCGAAGAGAGAGAGAGAGCTTTGCTTCCTGTGGCCGGCAGCAGTCGCACGTATGCAGGGCAGGAGCAGTGTTGCACATTTTGAAAATTGTTCATATTGGAGCAACACACAAGTTATATAGTAAGCTAGTTTATAAGTCGTCTAGGCGTGCATTTTTCTTTAATAATTATATTTAGCATTTTTTTATTTTATGATTTTTTTTGTTCTTTACTCTTGCGATAATAATTTAGTAATATGCAGTTTTTTTTGTTTGATAAATACTATATTCCATTGCACTTTTTATGTGTGCTTGTAAAATTAATGCAATGCAAATTTTTTGTCTGTTATTAATATAAAAACAAAAAAAATTTAAAAATACAAAAAAAAATTATGAATAAATAATAAAAAAGTCTGTTTAGCTTACAGAGAAATTCCGAAAATTAATTGTAATAGATATACTTCATATGTTGTGTATGTAGCATTAGAGCGTGGCGCCAAAAAAGCATATATGCTGTAGTGATAAAGAGAATGCAAACAAAAGAAAATGGCATCTAAAAAAACCGATTGCAAATTTAAAGTCAAGAAATAAGTAAAAAAAAAATGTTGCGCACGAGAGCTTTGCAAGTATTGTATGTATGTAGCAGCTGTATAAAAAAAAGTTATATATTAAATTTTTTAAGTTGAAAACCCCGTATCTATCATAAAATAGAAGAATATTTTCCCAATTTTCCCAATTTAAAATAAGGGACCGATAATTAACATTAAATATCAAGATTTTTATATTTAGATCATTGCAAAATCGTTATTATTTATTTTTAACAGACTTAAAAAAAAGAAGAAGGTTATCAATTCGTCGGAATATTTTTTGTTATTTATGTTACCGCTTAACTTTGGAGCACGCTAACCGATTTCTAGTTTAATCGTTATTTTGGAATTTTGTTTTAATAAAAAATAATCGTTATTTTGCATTTAATTTTTTTGCCGTTCATCTAAAAAAAAAAATAAAAGAAAAAAATAATAAAAATCAAAAATTTATCGAAAAAAAATCAAAAAAAATTAAAACGCATAAAATAACGTTTAAATCTGCTTGGAAAAATATAAATCCAATTTACGCGGTTAAATTTACTCGGAAAAATAGAGATCCAATTTTTACGTTCAAATTATGATTTTTATTATAAAAATCTTAACAGTTACGGTCCCTAATTAAAATGCCTGAAACACTGGTAAGTTTCCTAAACTTGCAAAATACTTTTGAATGTTTTTTTCGAGCTTTTTGATGTTTCCCGCAATCCCATTTTTTGTCAAATGCTTTCGAGCACCGAGTTTTCTAGCTTTACGAGTTTAAAGCAATCGCCTTATTAATAGTTTCTGATTCCTTATCCTTAAATACAATTTGTACGAAAAATGCTTTTTAAATATTCTTGTTTCTTAAAAATCTTTATTTCGAATAAAAACCCATAATCATACACCCAATTTTTTGTACAATTTTTATTTGTTTTAAATTCAGTTAATTGCTATAATAAACGTTAAGAAGTTGAAACTCACATTGAATAAAAATATGCCAACGGATAACCGGTTTTTAATGCTCGGTACAATATAAACGATTCTCTACTCAGCAAAATACGATTAAAACAAAATTTAACCGGTAACCGTTTTTAGAAATCGAGTAGTTGGTATCATATAAACAATTCGTTCTGTGGAACTTCCAGCTTGAGTTTAACGCATCGGCGAGTATATTTATATGTACCTACCAAGTTGCAATTACACGGAAAAGAAAGTCTTAGGCTAGGTACAATTCGTTTACTTTATTTTAAATGGCTTATATTGGCATATTCTTACTTGGATAATATTTAATGAAAAAAGCAATAAAATACTTCCTTATAAGTTTACTTTGTTTTGCTTACTGTTTTAAATGCGTAACCGGTTTTCCAAATTTGAGTACCGGGTACCATTTTAAAAATAATTTCTCAATATAATTTATGCTAGCGAGAGCGATATTCAACGTATCGAAAAACCAAATTTTTATTCTGTAACCGGTTTTTGCAAAATCGGAGAAAGATTTTGTGACACATTTAGGAAAAGATTTTTTTAAGTATTAACAGGCGTTCGAATTTTGTATTTCAAAGTCTTTTTTGGTTAACAATATTTGAACACACGCTGTTTTGAGCTTACAAAAATTTCCACAATCTGAAGATAGTTAAGGCAAAAAAAAATTGCAGAAACATTGTCTAAGATTTAGGCGCCTGACTAAGTAGTAAGAAAATTGTAAAAAAAAGCACATTAAAATTTTCAAAAATAATTATAAAGTGAAATGAAATGCGAGAAATACAGTTTAAATTCTTTAATACGGAACTTTGCTTTTTGGTAGCAGAAACGCATAAAAAATAAAGTAATCAAAACTATAAAGTTGACATGATATAGCCAAATAAAATGCATAAAATCAAAATTTTCAGTAGCTACATATGTATATACATATGTATATAAAAAAAAAAAACAAAATATGGCGTTCAAAAAACTTAGTCAAACAAAGTATCGAATTCTTGAGCCAAAAATTAAGCTGTTGAATGATCGCAAGTGATAAACGCTGCGAACACTATTTGCTGAATTCTTAAATATGCTAAAATGCAATTCTAAAGTTGAAAAACGTTTTTTTTCCCCAAACAGCGCTAGCTCTAATTGCCGAACTGCATACATACACACATACAATATACAATACATTAATTTTTGTAATATGTATTTTACTTATATGTAATACTTATATTAAATAATATTATATTATATACAAAACAAGTACATTGCATACCATTTACTTATATACATACGATTATTAATTACATATATTATTACTGATTTACATACATATATACATACATACATACCGTACATTTTTTTTGTAGACATAAGCCAATCAAAATACATGCAACAACGTGCAGTTGATAAAGTGAAAATGAAAGAAATGTTACAGAAACATACAAAAAAAAAATTAATAAAAACAGAAATTATATTTAAAATAAATAAAAGCTTAAAAGGCATTTAAATTTAAAATTGATGAGTGTTTTTCTTTATTTTGCTAACCAACAGTTTTAAATTGAGAAATAAAGTAAGAAAGGTGTGCTTAAATAGTTATAACCAAGGAATGAAACCGAAACCCAAACCGAAACCGTAACCGTTTAAAACCGTTTCGTTTTTCAAAACCGAAACCAAAACCGTAACCGTTATCTTGACCTGAAAAGGAACGATACCGAAACCATTTCAATCACAGGTTTCAATCGGTTTCCAGAAATTTACAAAAATAGTAAATAAAAATTTCTTTGAAATAAATGATTTATTTTACCAAAATCAGCAACATTTTGCTAAAATTCTTGTTAAGTAGTAAATAAGTATGGCAAGGTAACTTTTCGCAAAAATCTGCTGATGACTTTGTTGTTGTGAATCGATAATCGATTAATTATATTTAAGTAGTTTCTTTCCCGTACGCAATGCGAGATCCCGCGTGTGCCCAAAATAGCCCAGAAATCATGCCTGTACTCAACAAAATGGGTAATAGAGAGCGAAAATTCGAGCGTATTCGATCGTAAGTGTATTCTTCTTCCTGCCCGAAACAGCCCGAAATTTTCTCCGAGTAAAAATGGATAAAGTGTCAAAGTGCATATCAGCTGTATTGTGTTTACATGTTGCCTGCATTTACTTGGTGCTTTTAAGGAAAAGTGAATGGCCTGTTGATGTATTTTCAATCTATGTACTTAAAATCAAATTTGTGAAACCAAAATTCAATTTCCAAGTGTTTGCATTTAATACCATGTTCTGACCGACAACCAAAACATTTTTCCTTCATTTTCTTTTCATTTACAACCTTTAACTTTCATTCTTATTTTGCTTTGGCCAGGCAATTAACAATAAATCCGAAATGGCGTATTAAAGATGATAAAATATGACTTCCACTTCGATAAATAATCGAAAAAAACTAGTGAAGACACCGATTGGAATGAGTGGAAAGTGAGTTTTCAAGTAGTTTTCAGCGAAAACTGGTTTTCGTTTAACAGATTTTATATGGACGAAAACACAAGTTTTAGGTCGAAAACCAGTTTTAGCAACGAAAACATGTTTCCGATGTCGGTCAGAACATGGTATAAGTGACAAAAACAAGAACAACGTGAATCAGCTGTTTCTCGACTTGTGGGCACGAAATGTGGGTTTTTGCGTTTCCGTACTTCTGAACTTTGTTCCATTTTTGAAAGAAAATGTTTCTCTTATTCTCTAATTACCAAATCCGGTCCGGATTGTTAGGGAAAGAACCTAGTGTTGATATTATCAGTGAACTGTAATTTTCGATTTTCTTTCCTCAACGTTTAAGACATTGTGATTTAAATAATATCAACAAAATTTCTGTGAAAAACCGAAACCGGAACGAAACCGAAACCAAAACCGAAATAAATTTTGAAGAACGAAACCCAAACCGGAACGTTATTTTGAATCGGTTTCATTCCTTGGTTATAAAATGTATGCCTAAAAATGTTGTACGTTGCTGTAAAAATTCAAAAAAATCAGCCAAATGTCCCACTAAATACTACGCTCCCTTGAGCAACAGTGTAATCTCGCGCCAGGCTGCGGTGTACCACTGCGTATGAGCGACGCAGTACTAAGAAGTCGCCGAAGCGTATGCAGCATAAAAATACGGCCCTGCTGCCTAATCGACGCTGTTCGCCTGGTAGTTGGTGACAAGGAAGCAGTTGAGTTTCAAAATGGAAAATAGACCCGCGGGTCACTGGGAATGGTATTTTGCTGCTAGTTTAGGACAACTGAAAATCAGGGCTAGAGTACACATGAGTATTTAAGAATTTTCCACGCTTGAAATCAAATCTGAGACAGCTGATTATGTACGAGGTTTGATTTGAAAAGTATTTTTTGTACGCATGTCAAAACTGCATAAAATTTGGTTCCCTGACAGACCTAAATGAATGAAATCATGCAAATAGATTGAAACTGGAGAATTGAGTGCCCGTGTTTTTTTGCATATCGAATACCCGGTACTAGTATTTAGCCAAGTACTAATATTTTGCTAATTGTTAAAGAAAATGTCGTTCAATATGCGGCAGTAGCATTCTACGATGGGTTACCGGTTTTTAAAAACCGAGTACCCGTTAAAATTTTTCAGCCAATTCCGGTAACCGGTTTAAAAAAGTCGATTACCCGCTACTATTTTATAGCCGGTTGTTAATTATATTTATCTTGTTTATATTTGGTGATTATAATCTACATTTCATACGTGGGAAAAGGAATGAGAAAATCGAGTACTTGGTACCATATTTTAGCCGGCTTAATCTCTGACTAATTTTAAATTTTTCTATTCATTAGCTCAGTGGCTCAAATATCAGGCACCCAGCAGAGCGCAGCAAGCAGCGGCACAATGCAGCGTAGTTTTGAAGCCACTGTAGGCAAATAAAGACGCTTAGTGTTCGGACGCCAATATTGCGGCATTATATTTTACAGTCAAAGTAATAGTAGTAAAAGATTAAATAGCGTTAGAATAAGAATAAAGGAGTGTTTTTAAATAAACAAAAACATAAAAAATATGATATTTTTTCAAACTTTGAATACACATATGTACATATAGGTAATAGGTATATTAAAATAATAAAATCAGGCAATAAATAGTAGATTCAATGCACTTGAATTACGCGTAATACATTGAATTGCAGTAGTTCACTTGCTTCATTTTCATTCAGCTACTTGCGCACTTTAAGCTTTGCAAGTTTTTTTGTAAATTTTGAAGGTTTAAGGCCCAAATCTCTTTCTAACGCCAAAATTTTCAGCTTATTTTTGTATAATTCAGATTCGAGTACCGCTGCTTTCAAGCGCCCCATATCAATGCAACTGTCGCGCTTTCGTTTTGTACTTTGCTTTGTGGCTGTTCTATGTGAGCTGAGTTGTGATTCGTTAATATTAGAGATTTGTGATTCCACATTTGTTTCCGAACCGTCACCCTCGAGTAGGCTAAGGTCGTTCTTCACAGTCGACTCATTTTCCAAAATATCCAATATGCAGGCATCTACTGCGTCACAAACCAAAGACTTTGAAGTGCTAATGACTCCAGCTTTTCTAGCAACGTCTCTTTTTGCCTGCAAAGTAATTTTTTTTTTTGTAGTTTTTGCTTTAAAAAAATAAATGAAACCTGGCGCCTACGGCACCAACGACTTAGCACTTATCACTTTGCAATTTGTGGATAAGTATTTGTTTGCAAAGTAAATTCATAAGTGTTGCATTTTATGTTTCAAGTTCGTGTAAAAACCTGTAAGTTCTTGGAGCTAAAATGTTTTCCATTTTTCTACTATACTATAGTAGTAGTAGGATTTTTTCGTTTTTAACACACCTTATTTGAAGATTTTCGTGCTCATATATGTAAATTTAATAGTTTTTTTTCTCAACAATTTATCGAAGCACGCGTTAAAGCACTGATTAATTCATTCAAGCTGAATAAAGGCTACTTACCATTGATATGATAGATAAAATTTTATTTAGCAAAACAATGCTAAAATTAGCAAAATGAAAGTTGATAAGTTGTACGTAAAAATTGTTGGTGCAACCAAATAGCTAATAAATTATGATAATTTGCATAACTTATCACTTATACGCTAAGATCTTTTCGCTTAGCATTTAAAATTTTGGGTGCAACGTTCATCAATGACTTTTAGTAATTTTCACTAATCAATACTCAGTTGAGTGACTTTCACTTATCAAGTTGATGAAAGACCTAACTTTGCGCAACTTCGATAATTTGCTTAAAATGCTAATAATCTCAGCCCCATCGACAATTCCATGTGAATAAATCATTACCATAATTTAACATGCAAAACAAAAACAAATTGGGAAAATTTGTTTTTGTTTTGCTTTATAATTTTTTTGGAAATTCGCGATAGGGCCGCATAAGTCGTTGGTACAATAGGGTCATGCTGGCATAAAAGTCTTACCAATGCACGACTTTTCCAGAGGCCAAATATATGATCCCGTGCATAAGTCCAATCGCGGTTGGGCGCAGCCAAACCCAGGGATTGCGCTTTCTCGAGCACCCCCTTCCAAGCAGCCTCCTTTTCGATTTTATTGGCGACCTTATTTTGAAATTTTCCAAATAAAATATTCTAAAATGAAAAACAATATTTTAGCGAATGTAATATGTATGTACATTTAAAGGCGTATACCTTTTTCTTTTTAACTACTTCCAAAACCGCCAATTTTTTCTCTCTATTTTGTGCGCGCGACATCTTCGGCAGACCTAACCAAAGTGAAGTTATATAGCCAATACAGCCAAATATAGCTCAGTTTTTGTTTGGTTTTCACATTTTTTTGGTAACGTCTATCACTCTGCTACTATCTTCACTACATATAATGACCCTGCAGAAATTTTTTCAACTAATGGAACGACTTGTTGGTCGAGTGCTAGTGTAGACTCGGCGAATTCGAACGACGGCGCTTAGCGAAATACTTCTTTGGAAAGCCGACTTTTTGCCAGAGATGTAATCCGAGAATCTCCAGAAGACTACGCCAGCACACTACCCGCGAACGATGGTGCTCTGGTGAACTCGACACCGATGGACAGACCACGATAACAAGTGCTGCCGTGTACATAATGAAAGGAAAAAAGTGCTGTGTCTATATTTGGTGTGAGCAACCCGACGGAACTTGACAAATGCGAGCGGCTGGCTACCGGTGAAGGTTTTTTGGCCTGGGCCCAAGCTGAAGGAAAAGTCGATGTTCCGAATTTTTGATTATACACATGCGCTACTAATGCATTTTCCTACAGAGCATCATTGACTACACAAGCTTACATAGCCTAGTTGCTTTAGCATGTGTTGCGCTGTGCTGTGCTGTGCTTAGCCGACAAACTTATCAAAAACACTGATAAGTTGCTTATCTGGAAAGCGATACACTCGAACTTGGTAAACTCGTAAGTTTTTGTTTGTTTTCATTCAAAGCAAAGGTTATCAAGTAGACTTATCAAAAAAAAATTACTCCTCGTTAATTTGAAAATTGATAAGGGATACATAAATAAGTGGTTCGTGCAAAAGGAACCTAGTTGGATGTGAAAGGCCTTAGTTTCAGCTATTCAGCGAATGAAGAAAAAGTAGTGCCGAATTTCCACTAGGCATTGAGTTAACAAAAAATATTTGCGCTTAATATGAAAACTTTCAATAATTTCGCTACCCAGATTTTAATTAAAACAAATTTTTTAACCGTCGATATTTCGACCTCAATCTGAACTTATTAAAAGTTTTCATAATTTAAAATTCGAAGCCCAATAACCAAAGATGAAATATGTCGAGCCCTAACCGCCAAAAAGCCGTGAGCGAAATTGTTTTCAAAATTTTATTTCTGATGCAGAAATACATTTAGGAACATTTCTGCATCAAGAGGAAAATTTTGAAAAAATGTCCTTTTTGCCACTAAGGCTCGATGATGTACATGTATTTTTTTTATAAATCAATTCTCCTAAACAGAAAAACAAATCGGAAAATTCAAAAATTTTATTATATTGCCAATAATTGTTCAAAAAGCAATTTCGATTTTGGGATTTTCCAGTTTCAGGGCGCCTCTCGAATATGTGGAAGTGTGAAAACAGCTTGTGAAATTCTTTTCGCCACCACAAAGTAAACCAATTTTTTCATATTTTATTTCCCATGCGTATTTTTCAATTTTTATTTCTTTATTTAATTTGTATTTTGTTTAATTTTATTTGACTTTTAGTTTCCGTATCTCATAGCTCTTTAATTAATAATAATGTATATGTTTTTTTCTTTCCTCTTTGTATATATAATTATTTTATTTTCTCATATATAATATAATATATATTTTTGTTTTATATAATCATATATTGCACTAAAAATATCTGTGATATTTTTCTCTTACATTATCATGCTTTTCCTGCTACATTTTTATGCCTTTTTGCCTTTTTATAATTTTTTATATATTTTTTTTTTTTTATATTGTATTTTGTATGCTTAATACACTGTCATTCGCTAATTTTTCTTTATTTTTAATTTTTGCTAGTTCTTTGTATCATTTTTTCTCTCTTAGCTTAATTCTCAATTCTAATTCATTCCTAGCCATTTAATAAATTTTTTCTTTTTTTTATAACGCATTATCTGCACTTGCCATCCATAGTCGTGGGTTAGGACATGGGGGCGCTATATTTGCTTGCTTGTTTGCTGGTGTTTTTGTTTATCTTTCTGTTATACGAAATCTTATTTCTAGCTTTGATCATGCCCAACATTTCTATGATTTGGTAAAAACTAATTTTAAGAAAAAATATGTGGCAACCAAAAACTCCACAAAATTTCAACTCCTTGGCTGTATTCATACTGAACTTGCTAATTTTGCGCATCAGAAAATGGCAATCCGCCAAAAATATTGACAGTATGTAAATCCAAAAGTGATCGGAGAGCTTATAGCTCAATACGTTTTGAAGGCTAAGATCATAGACAAATGGCAAGCGTTGATCCGGACCAATTCGTTAGAGTTAACCTTCAAATTTAATGCGGATCAGGGCCATTTTCACTGACAACACTGATCAAAACGCAAATCTACCTGGTGCCGGTAATGCATTCAAAAATCTGCTTCAAATAGGATTCGCATTGAGATTTAATAATAACATATCCACGGCCACTCTACTCGTTTAATCCGCAATACTGCCAACTGACAGGGTACGATTTTGATCGGATCAACTGCGCCGTTAATCCGGATTAACGTTACTAAGGCTGCTACTTCGGTAATTTTGTATTTGGTTCTGACCGGAGAATTTTCAATGAATTCAAATTTCACAATTGAAACTGTAACGAGCTTAGTGTGAACGACATTTTGAAAAAAATGTCTTATTTTTTTCAGAAAATTACACTTTGCAGAATATGAGCTTTAAGATACTAGTTTAGCTTAACAAAAAGATAGTTTCTAAGAAAAAATCTTAGGTACTAAAGGCTTTTAGGCGTTAAGCAGCGTTTCCGTGCTTTTTTAGTGCTTTCGAATACAAAAACACTTTTTTTTTTTACCAAAACAATATTCTCAAGAAGTAGTAACTAACATATTTTCGCAAATTTTTTTCACTTCTACCATTACATTATCATCAACTATTATATAAATTTCTAAATTTTTTCGCTTTCCAGTCGTCTCTAGTATTTACTTATACTTAAATCTGTACAAATATTTTGCAATGCTTTGCCTAAGCTTCCTTCACCATTTATCCATATTTTAAATCAATTATTATTTTTATGTAATTTTTTCTGTAATTTTATTTGCTGATACGTTTTTTCAAGTGTACTCGAAAGTTGAAATGTTTGCATGCTTCTAATATTTTTTTCTCTCCTATTTCTAGGATTATGGTGATAACACTAATGGGTATTGAAAGCCTGTCGTTATTTTATGTGTTTTTCCGTTTTATTAGCTTTTAATACATTTTTCCGTAGATGGATTTTTTGAAGTTCGGTCGGTCCTGATATTTTTTTTTTATTGGCATTAGGAAACCATTTTTAGTTACAGTTCTACGAGTACTTGTGTATAGACATAATTTGAGGGATTTGTTTTTGTAGAAATTCAAATTCAATATCAAATTCATTTGATTTTTTTTGTAGGTTTTGATATATGCAAAAAGTGTGGACATTTGTGATATTTTTTGGTTACAAGAAACGCATTTTTTTTATGTTGCGCTACGCCACTTAAGTAGAAACAGCTGTGCTTTGGGAAGCGGTAGGAGTATTTGAAACTAAATAAAAAAATTAAACACAAATAACATAAAATAAAAAAATTAATAAGGAAATATTGAAAAAATAATAACGAAAACAAATATTTTAAAAATAATGCTTAAATTAGTTATTCAAAGCAGAGCAAGGTTCATTCATTTCGTTTGCCGTTAAGTAAATAAAATCTATAATAAAAAACTCAATCAGAAAATGTAAAATTTATATTATAAAAAATAAAATATGTGTTAAGTTTTTAATATCTCACAACAAAATAAAATATGTGTTAATTTTTTAATTTCTCACAATAAAATAAAATAAAAATGAGAAATCCCCAGCATTAAAATATATACAGAAAAGTGGCAGAAATTTTGGTATCAAATTAAAACATAAATTTTTTTACTGCAAGAATAAAAATTTTAGAGAAATTTTTCTGCATTATAAACACAAATTTATTCTCAAAAAAATTTATTTCAAGCGCAGTTAAATTTAAGAAGCTATTTGAAAAAACGGTCCTAATTTTTCTAAAACCTTTGAAGACGCAATCAAAAACGGCCCTTAATGCTTTACATAATTACATATGTATTTGCTTGATAGTTTAATTTAAAAAAAGAATTGTTTCAAAAGTACATATTTATAAGGAAAATTAATAATTGTTTGTTTTAGATTTTAATGTAGTAGGCCGAGAAAGCGCAAAAATAAATTTTACAAAAAATTTAGTCTGTGTTGGAAAAAGGTTTTTTAACATTTTTAGCATTTATCTTTCATATGAAGTTCATAATGAAGTTTAAAAAGTTATGTTGAGATAACGAATAACTGAGCAGAAAATATTTTCAAAACATGTTTATTTATGTGCGTAAGCTAAAAACCGCTTTTCGAAAGAAATTGTAACTGAAAATTTCGTTTTAAGACCGATTTAAAAAAAAAAAAATTGCTCGAAAAAAATTAATTAGCCTCTAAGATCTTAAAAAAAAATATAATGAAAAACAAGCAATTTTAGTATAAATATCTGATGAAAAGGTCCAAAATATTCGACTTGAAAAACCAAATATTCGAAAAATAAATTTGAATAGCTACTACAAATTGTGTCAAAACTTCGAGAGAAAATCTAAAACCGTCCCAAAGAAATCGTTTAAAATGAAAGACAAAAAAAATAATTTCATAGAGAATAATTAATAAATTTAATATTCAATTACTATTATCGAAATTTTAAATTATTAGGTAATAAAAAACTTTAAAAATAAACTCAGCTTAGCTTCTACAAATTTGGCAAACATTTCTCAATAAGTTCAAAATATTTTCTTCGGAAGCTTGTGAGACGACAAAAAAAAATTTAACCAAACAAAACTTCGAAAAGTTTTGAATGAAGAAACTGGTCAAAATTTCTAAGCAATTCGTTTGACTTACAAGCGATTTCGTTGGATGAGACAAAAAAAAATAAAAATTCGAAAAAAATCGAAAAGATATAGATTAGCTTGAAATTATACCTGTAATAATTAAAAAAAAAAATCACAAACCAAAAACTTTATCGAAATCTCTAACTAGTGCGTTTAATTCAGTATTTTTTTTTTTGTTTGAAGATCAATAGCAAAATAACTGCAAAAACAATTTCGAAAAAAAAAAATTATACAAAAATTGGTCAAAATTTGTAAGCAAAACGTTTAGAATATGAGTTTCTGTATTGATTTCAAATTATAATTGCAAAAAATTTAAGAACAATTCATCTTATCTACAAAATTTTGTAAAAACTTCGAATTAGTACTTTTAAAATATTTCGTTTTGGAAACAGAACAAAATTATTGAAAAAAACAAATTTTAGAAACAAAAATTTTTTGAATTAGAAATTTCGAAAATAATTGCATAGAATCCACTGAACAGAAAATTAAAAAACAAAACATGATTATGAATAAATAAATATGCACACAAAACACTTTTGCGAACATTACGCACAAAATTATATTTTTGTGAAAAGGAAATAAAGTAAGCTGTTTTCACCAACATTCTTGAAAGGCGTATTAGTTCAAAGTTAATTCGCATACGAAATTACGTGACTTTTGAACAATTTTACTAAATGCTGAAACTGTATTTTTACGTTTTCATTTACTTTATTTCCAAAGCATACAAAATTCTTAAAAAAAAACTAAATATTTTTTTCTACATTTCGCAGGCCTTCTACTTTAATGTTTACGAATTTGCTTTTCTGTTATATCGATATACACTCTGCATTTGCTTTTCGAACAATCATAAGCCTTTTTTCCAAACAACGCAAGCACAACGCTACTATACACTTACTAAGCTTACGCATTTTCCCAATATGCGATTTTTTGTTGTTCATACTTTTTCAATTAATTTGCTATGCCTAGCAACTTTTTTATGGTTTTGATTTTTTATTATGAAATTTCTATATTTGCTGCTCACATTTTTCCTTTTTAGAAATTATAATCTACATACTTGTATATAGACGTAAACATTAATATTTATTATTAATCGCTTACATCCATATGTATATAAACATTCTTACATAAATTTGTATGTAGTAGGTTGTATGTACATATGTATGAATGTATGTTTGTTTGTCTCATTCCATTTAAATCGTAGAGTATAATCACTGTACTATATGTTTTTGTTGTAGTTATGTATGTATGTACGTATGTATAAATTGTTTTGAGTTTTGGTTTAAATTTTTGTTTTTAATCTTTTGTTTTGTTTTTCATTTTTAAAGATGAAATATTTAATAATTTAATGTTAATTAATAATAATTACATAAATATGTATATAGGCACTTTCCTTTAGTTCAGAATTTTCCACTTAGATTTTCAAATTTTTTATAAAGTATTTTTTTTTCATTTGTTTGGTTACTAAATTTTAAAATAAATTATCATTTGGTTTAAATTTTAAAACATCACTGTTCGGGAGAGCGTGAGATGTTTGTATTTATGTAGAGTTTCGCTGCTGTGGCTGCACTAATTATACACAAGGCAGAAGCTTTCACTTTCG